CATATATACACACACACACACATACATACACAAGTATATGATTGTTTGGTTATACAAAATAAATGTAAATGTAAGCTGAAAACAACCAATCAGAAAAAGACCCTCAATTCTGGAGACGGAAAAAGGTAATTAAAAATACCATTTTCCATTTTACTTTTCACAATAAATCTATGCAGTTTCCTCAGGATTTATTGCCCAAAATAACTTACCACTGTTTCTCATGAAATAGGAATTCACTTTTATCTGTCTTTATTTATTCAATAAACATTTCTTTTAAATTTCTTTTATTTTTACAAAGATGCCATCTAGTGGCTTTATGAAATCAAGCATTTCAAAATATTCCCATTTTTATGTCAGGCTAAAATACATTTTGATGTAAATGATTGAATTAGAGAAAAAAAGCATTAGAAGAATTTAGGCCAAGGACCTGAAAATTATCCTTTGGAAATTATCTGTATGAGCTGAATTTGGATCATAATACCTTCGTGAGCTTAAGAGGCTAGAAATACATAGTCCCTTTTCTGAAACCTTAAGGGACAGATGTGTTTGAAACCTAGGTTCTTTCAGATTTCCGAATGGTGTGCTCAGTTGTGTCGGACTCTTTGGAGCCCCATGGACTGTAGCCTGCCAGGCTCCTCTGCCAATGGAATTTTCCAGGCAAGAATACTGGAGTGGGGTTCCACTTCCTATTCTGTTTTGAATGGTAATATGAATATATACTGGGCTTCCCTGGTGGCTCAGATGGAAAAGAATCTGCCTGCCATGCAGGATACCCAGACTTGATCCCTGGGCGGGAAGATCCTCTGGAGAAGGGAATGGCAACACACTCCAGTATTCTCTACTGAAATATTCCATGGACAGAGGAGCCTGGTGGTGGGCTACAGTCCCCAGGGTAGCAAAGAATCAGACACGACTGAGTGACTAACACACACACGGATATGTACGGTATATTTTGTCAAACATTCAGTGGGTCTGGGGAAATACTCCAGAATCAAATATATTAATACTTCTGTGGCAAAATATATTATCACATTAAAGTAGGATAAAGAGCATAAATAGCTTCATATCAATGCAATCAGGTTTTACTTGCAAATGAGTTATGAAAAAACTTTCCATTTTTAAAAATTTTTAGAGTTTATAGACAGGGAATTTACCCTAAGAAAATGAATTAAGCCTCCTTTTCTTATTGAAGAAGTTAAATGAAATGTCTTATCATAAAATGGTAATGTTTATCTTTAAAAATGGCTAATATGTTCACTTGAAAAAGAAACCAACATATTTGAAGATTATGAGAAATCCCTAAGATACTTTTCAGCTAGTAATGTATAGAAGGAAGCTAATCCATTTCATGTAAGGACACAACAAAAACTGAGCATCTAATGTAAGCTGAAAGACCACTTGGAAAACTCATTAGCAGTGCATAGCAAGCTAAATTTGAGCTTTATAGTATATTCCAAATTTTTTAAATTTTGTTTTGCTATTTCATGTTTCTATACGTGCTTTGCATGTCCCTGTTCCCCTGCCGCTGTGTTTATAAAAAGCATGTGTTGAAATGTCCTTATTTTCGGCCTGGTCCCTTGTGTGACTCTTGAGCACTGCCATTCCATGGCATGTCACTTTTAAGTCTTAGACCAGTCAGAAGAACCTAGAACACTAGAGGAAAGTGTCTTCCTCCTTGACAAAGTCAAAGTGGGAATGGAATACAGGAAGTGAATTATTGATGTGGACTGGAGAAATTTATTTGTATGTTTTTATTTAGAAGTTATTAGCCACTTCTTAGTGAAGGAAATTATGAGAAAAAGAGTGAATTAGAATAGGCTTTCCTTAAATCCTAATTGTCTTAATACAACGTTTGTTTTCTTATGGGCTGGGAGTGCTCAAGTCACACAAGGAATTCAGGCTGAAAATAATGACATTTCAACACATGCTTTTAAAAACAGAGGCAGGGAATGGGAACATGGCTGGCTTAAAACATTCAAAAAACTAAGATCATGGCATCCAGGCCCATCACTTCATGGCAAATAGATGGGGAAACAGTGGAAACAGTGGCTGACTTTATTTTTCTGGGCTCCAAAATCACTGCAGATGGTGATTGCAGCCATGAAATTTTTAAAAGACACTTACTCCTTGGAAGAAAAGCTATGACAAACCTAGACAGCATATTCAAAAGCAGAGACATTACTTTGCCAACAAAGGTCCGTCTAGTCAAAGCTATGGTTTTTCCAGTGGTTATGTATGGATGTGAGAGTTGGACTAGAAAGCTGAGCGCCGAAGAATTGATGCTTTTGAACTGTGGTGTTGGAGAAGACTCTTGAGAGTCCCTTGGACTGCAAGGAGATCCAACCAGTCCATCCTAAGAGATCAGTCCTGGGTATTCATTGGAAGGACTGATGCTGAAACTGAAGTTCCAATACTTTGGCCACCTGATGCTCATTGGAAAGACCCTAATGCTAGGAAAGATTGAAGTCAGGAGGAGAAAGGGACAACAGAGGATGAGATGGTTGGATGGCATCACTGACTTGATGGACATGAGTCTGAGCAGGCTCCAGGAGTTGGTGATGGACAGGGAATCCTGGCCTGCTGCAGTCCATGGGGTTGCAAAGAATCAGAAGCAACTGAGCTACTGAACTGACTGAAGACACAAGAGAAAAATCAGACACATTTTAATACATATTCATGGGAGTGACCCAGGAAAACCCAAGTAACTCACCAAAACGGCTAAAACCCTCACATTGCATACCACTTTCACCTGAAGACAAAATATGCTGCTGCAGGCTATGGTTTGGGACTTCGTGGGGAGGACAGCATTTCACCAGTATATAGAAAAACAAATGTTTGGTAAATGTTTGTTAGGCCATGCGGAGTAAGACACCAGAATTTTAACAGATTTTGCTAGGTTCCTCACTGTCTGAACACCTAGTTCGTATTATAGTTATGTATGGTGATAGCTTCCTTCAAAATTTCTTCCTGAGTCTTTAGGCCTTGTTTTCAGCTCAAAATAATCAGCATACCAGAGACTTAGTGGGATGGCATGTTTCACTCCTCTACAATTTGTGACTTCTATTTAAAAACCTCTTCATCCTCTTCTAAACCAACTCTTACCTTCTCATTTACTTTTGTCTCATAAAATTACTGTAATTGTATTTTAGGCTGTAATACCACTGAATACTGAGCTTCAAAGGAAATTCTGCCCTCAAATGCAAAATACTCATGGTATGTTCAATAATTTGCTGTTCTACCCTAGACCCCAGAACACGCTTGCACAGGTGGTTTCTTTAACTTCTATTTGTTGATATAACCATAGAAGCTGGAAGAAAAAGAAAAGGCTGATTATTAGCCTACATTTGAGAATTTTCTTCTATGGAGCACTGTTGATTTTCTCCCTTAGAAGCAAAAAACCAAACAAACATGAGATTAGCAACTACGTTCCAGTGATTGAGATCTGATATATTAATAGATAACTGGGGAATTGGCAAGGGTTCAAGATCTAAAGTCCTCCTTCTGCAGTTAAAGAACATTAAGTCCTACAAGACCTAAAGATTTTGGCTTCTTGAGAATAAAGAAAGTGATCTTCGATTTATGAAAGAGTACCTTGTGAAAAAGGACACAGACTCTCTGGAATACCATCTTGCTTATCAGAAGGCATTAGAAGAGCTGGTCTTGTGGGAAGGCTCATTTGAAAAGCCTGCTGGAGCATCAGGTAAAGGAACTTAACATCTGAAGACAACCCAACAAGTCTTCCCCTTGTAGTTTAGGTCCCCAAATCTGCTATGGGAAGAATCTGGTGACAAGACCAAGGTGGACCTGAGGGAGCAGCCTGGAGCAAGTGAGAGGCAGGCCCACAGCTGGGTTGACCACAGAGAAGATGGTCAACCTCTTGTTGACCCACCTGTGCCCCACTTTGCAAATGTGGACCATGCAGCCCTCAGGGAAGCCAGCTCAGACATGGAGGCCGACAGGCTGCTCACTCCTGGCCCCACCAGCATCACAGAATAATGTTAGTTGCCTTCAACGGTGAAAAAATAAAAAAATAAAAATACTACCTTTGAAGGTAAAAACTACCAAATTTAAGTATTTAGAAATGATAGGTGGCTATTAACAAAAAGAAAAGGTGAGGACAAATGAAAAGTAATTTTATTTTTGTTTAACCTTAAACTTACCAAACTGCTTCTTTCTTTGAACAGCAGTTATCTTCTGTTTGATACCCAGCTGCACTTATACTGAAAATTAGTTAAAACTACTTAACAATTCCACTTTGACGTTATAAGCATACAACTAAGATGTTTTGAATATAAGCCTATCTGTATGTCAGATAAACTTTAGGAATTCTTAGTGTCTCTTCTTTTTCAGAAATTCTCTCTCTATCCTGTTATACTTTGGTTATCAAGAAAACTAAAGACTAAGGGCCAGAAAACTAATTTCCTTAAATGAGACAAAAGGAAAAGTTTTTCCAACTACTACTATAAATGAAAATCTTTCTTTCAAATACCAAATCAATTTTCCCAAGTGTACAATGAATTCTAATTTGATGGTTTTTTCCTTACTACTTCACTTTAAACAGTGACCTACTAATTTGTTTCAACAACAATAATAATTATCTTTTCTGTTTTTCCATAATAAAAAAATTAAATCATCTGTTGAAGATACTACTAAAAATACTTCACCTTTCAAATATGGCCCCTACAGTGAAGATCTATAGGAATTCTTCCAATTAAGTTTTGGAAAAATTTAATTGGAACCTGTTTTTTAAAAAAAAACACAGGTTTTAAAACACAACCTTTAAAAAAAATTACCTTTGAAATAATTTGAATGAATGCTCTACAAATCAAAAACTGAATTCACAAATTACCATAATCATCAACTTTAACAAGTCGCTTAAATGTGTTCTGTATCAGTTTTCTTGATGATAAGATGTCAATAATACGGAAACATTTTTTAACATATAACAGAATATTTAATTACATCACTCTCCTATCAACAGATAAGTTAGTTAATGCTGTTTATATTGGCCATTTCCATTGGCTGGCTGGAGGCTCTTCCACTAAAGGCTCCCATGGTTTCCACTGGATCATTTTTCTTGCCAGACTAAGTTCGTTTTCAGCCTGTTAATAAAAGATTTTTAAAAGATCATTTGATTATATTGTTTAGTAGGTATTTACTATAGCTAATAACTGAAATATAACTATTAGAACTACTTTGTACATGTTAATACCTAATACGCTATTTCATCATCAAATGTGGAACATACTTAAAATTACCTTCATCATCATGAGTGAGAAAGGACGGCTTTTGATTTTTCTATTTGACTAAAATTTGCATGTAGAGTGTTCAAATTTTAGTTGGTGAGTAAAGGATCCATGACATACACATATAACTAAAACAAATCTAAAAATATTACCTTTACTAGCTGTCATGCTCAATTTTCTGATGAATGCAAAAAAAAAAAACAAAAAAAACTAGTCACAGTCTACCTAATTGGTTTCGTGATCCATAATCACTTTAGACCAACAATTTGTAAAGCAGAGATCTATGGAATATAATAATAGAATAAAACAGGTGTATTTTTATTGATTAATCGAATCAGTTTCCTTAATCAGATTATGTTACATTTATTTTCCTTTCAAATGCAATTTATAACATATTTAATTCATAGATTTTAGCTTTCTTTTTGCTTCACATTATTTTCTACAGCAAAAGATCTATGACAACTCTGGCCAACTAGAAGAACACTGCTGAACACTTGTCAGAACATCAGAGAAGGAATTCAAACACAGAACAAGTGCTTAGTTTCTATGCCAGTGATGTAGAAGAGGCAAATACACTTAGTGGTAACAGTCTAAAATGTATACAAACAATGAGTTAAAGAATCAGTTCAGCTCACTCGCTCAGTCGTGTCCGAATCTTTGCGACCCCAGGGAGTGCAGCACGCCAGGCCTCCCTGTCCATCACCAACTCCTGTGGTTTACTCAAACTCATGTCCATCAAGTCGGTGATACCATCCAACCATCTCATCCTCTGTCGTCCCCTTCTCCTGCCTTCAATTTTTCCCTTTATCTTTTCCAGTGAGTCAGTTCTTCGCATCAGGTGGCCAAAGTATTGGAGTTTCAGCTTCAGCATCAGTCCTTTCAATGAATATTCAGGACTGACTTCCTTTAGGGTGGATGGTTGAATCTCCCTGGAGTCCAAGGAGTCTTCCCCAACACTACAGTTCAAAAGCATCAATTCTTCAGTGCTCAGCTTTCTTTATAGTCCAACTCTCACATTCATACAGGACTGGTGGAAAAATCATAGCTTTGACTAGACGGACCTTTGTCGGCAAGGTAATATCTCTGCTTTTTAATATACTGTCTAGGTTTGTCATAGCTTTTCTTCCAAGGAACAGGTGTCTTTTTAATTTCATGACTGCAGTCACCATCTGTGTGATTTAGGAGCCCCATCCCCCCCAAAAAATAAAGTTTCTCACTGTTTCCACTGTTTCCCCTCTATTTGCCATGAAGTAATGGGACTGGATGCAATGATCTTTGTTTTTTGAATGTTGAGTTTTAAGCCAGCTTTTTCACTCTCCTCTTTCATGTTCAAGAGACTCTTTAGTTCCTCTACACTTTCTGCCATAAGAATGGTGTCATCTGCATATCTGAGGTTGATATTTCTCCTGGCAATCTGCATTCCAGCTTACACTTCATCCAGCCCGACATTTTGCATGATGTACTCTGCATATAAGTTAAATAAGCAGGGTGACAACATACGGCCTTGACATACTCCTTTCCCCATTTGGAACCAGTCTGTTGTTCCATGTCCAGCTCTAACTATTGCTTCTTGACCTGTAATACAGATTTCTCAGGAGGCAGGTCAGGTGGTGTGGTATTCCCATCTCTTGAAGAATTTTCCAGTGTGTTGCCATCTACACAGTCAAAGGCTTTGATGTAGTCAATAAAGCAGATGTAGATGTTTTTCTGGAATTCTACTCTTTTGATGCTCCAACAGATGTTGAAAATTTGATCTCTGGTTCCTCTGCCTTTTCTATATCCAGCTTGAACATCTGGAAGTTGATGGTTCACATACTGTTGAAGCCTGGCTTGGAGAATTTTAAGCATTACTTAACTAGTGAGTGAAATGAGTGCAACTGCACAGTAGCTGAACATTCTCTGGCATTGCCCTTCTTTGGGATTGGAATGATAACTGACCTTTTCCAGTCCTGTGGCCACTGCTGAGTTTTCCAGAACGCTGGCATATTGAGTGCAGCACTTTCATAGCATCATCTTTTAGGATTTGAAATAGCTCAACTGGAATTCCATCACCTCCACTAGCTTTGTTCGTAGTATTGCTTTCTAAGGCCCACTTGACTTTGCATTCCAGTATGTCTAGCTCTAGGTGAGTGAGCCAGTCACAATCGTGATTATCCGGGTCATGAAAGATCTCTTTTGTACAGTTCTTCTGTGTATTCTTGCCACCTCTTCTTAATACCTTCTGCTTCTGTTAGGTCCCTACCACTTCTGTCCTTTATTGAGCCCATCTTTGCATGAAATGTTCCCTTGGTATCTCTAATTTTCTTGAAGAGATCTCGTCTTTACTATTCTATTGTTTTCCTCTATTTTTTTGCATTGATTGCTGAGGAAGGCTTTCTTATCTCCTTGCTATTCTCTGGAACTCTGCATTCAAATGGGTATCTCTTTCCTTTTCTCCTTTGCCTTTCACTTCTCTTCTTTTCTCAGCTATTTGTAAGGCCTCCTCAGACAACCATTTTGCCTTTTTGCATTTCTTTTTCTTGGGGATGGTTTTGGTCACTGCCTCCTGTACAGTGTCAGAAACCTCCATCCATAGTTCTTCAGACACTCTGCCTATCAGATCTAATCCCTTGAATCTATCTGTCACTTCCACTGTATAATCGTGAGGGATTTGATTTAGGTCATACCTGGTCTAGTGGGTTTTCCCCAGTTTCTTCAATTTAAGTCTGAATTTGGCAATAGGAGTTCATGATCTGAGCCACAGTCAGCTTGCAGTCTTGTTTTTGCTGACTGTATAGAGCTCCTCCATCTTTGGCCGCAAAGAATATAATCAATCTGATCTCAGTATTGACCATCTGGTGATGTTCATGTGTAGAGTTTTCTCCTGTGTTGTTGGAAGAGGGTGTTTGCTATGACCAGTGCGTTCTCTTGGCAAAACTCTGCGAACCTTTGCCCTGCTTCATTTTGTACTCCAAGGCCAATTTGTCTGTTATTCCAGGTATCTCCTGAGTTCCTCCTTCTGCATTCTAGTCCCCTGTGATGAAAGGACATCTTTTTTGGGTGTTAGTTCTAAAACGTCTTATAGGTCTTCATAGAACTCCAGAGTTATCTGGGGTCAGAGGTATTTATTGCTGAAATTGGGAAAATACTGATTAAAAATATCCCTAAGGATCGCTCTTTTTCTGAATGCCCTGTGGCTTGTTTCTCTTGAACACTCATCTTTCTCTATTTCCCCAAGTGACAGCAGGCTGGGGAGGGTTGTTATTTAATAGAGAAGTTGTCTCCAATTCTTTTGCAACCCCGTGAGCTGTGGCCCACCACGCTCCTCTGTCCATGGGATTTTCTAGGCAAGAATATGGAGTGGGTTGCCGTTTCCTTCTCCAGGGAACCTTCCCAAGCCAGAGATTGAACCTGTGTTTCCCACATTGGCAGGTGGTTTCTTTGCCACTGAGCCACCTGGGAAGCCCAGGCTGGGGAGGGTCCATATCCCTGAATATCACTGAGATCACAGAGCTCAACTCAGCAACATGTAGCTCCACTCCCTCCCTCTCCTCCAGCCTCCAACACACTATCCTTTCCTTATTTCTCTCATACTGGCCCTCCAGAAATGGGCTGTCCAATAACGTAGCCACTTCCTACCTATGACTATTGAGAGAACACTAAAAATATAGCTAGTTCAAATTCAGATGTGCTGAGAGTATAAAATACACCTCAGATTTTAAACACTTAATGTTCAAAAAACTTTTTCAGTGTCTTACTTTCTATATCGATGATATGTTTCAATGATATTTTAGATCTCTTAGGTTAAATAAAACATTATTAAAATTAATTTGATCTCAATATTGCCCATGAAGATGTGAGAATTACACAGCTAACTTAAAAATACTTAGTGTACCCTAAGACTTTAATTGCATGATAAATTAATGTATCAATTAAACTAAAGTCAAGATCCAAGTGAAATCAGGTATAAAAGAGGAATAGGAGGAAAATAATAAGTTTGCGGCAAGTTCCTGCAATACTATATCTAGTACCATATTCCACCCAGCAAAGGAATAGAAAGGCCAAGAAAACAGGCCTTTGAGTGACTGAACAGTCTACATTCATAGAAAGCTATCTGAATGCTCCATTCCTCTTTTAGGAAAGACCTCCAACAATTCTTTTGAATTTGTGTATCATTGGTATATCATTGCATATCGTGTATATCACTGTACAATTGTATATGATTGTATATCATGGTAATATACTTTGATAAAAAGGAAGAAAAAATAAGAAATGGTTACACTTTTTAAAAATATTTTAAAAAATTAAATGAAACATAGTTGAATGTTTATTAGATTCTTATAAGGGGAAGACATTCTAAACCTATAATATTGAGAAGGAGGGGGGATTGTAGGGGAGGTGAGAAAGGGGAAGGTGATTTTACCAAATTAAAAAAAACTTGGTACTTCCCTGGCCTTCCAGTGACTGGAATTTCATGCTTCTACTGCACAGGGTACAGGTTTGATCCCTGGTTGGGGAATTAAGATACCCTCATGCCATGCAACACAGTCAAAAAAAAAGAAAAAAAAAAACTCAAAAAGAAAATATAAAGAGAAACACAGTAAAAACATTAAAGATATAATTTACAAAATATGAAATACAAAAAAAGGACATGTGCTATAAAAATTTAACCTTCAATAGTCAAAATGATAATAAATATTTAACTGACATATGTCAGAAGTATGTGTTTTCTTATGTGACTAGTCTTATATTTGATGAGTTGATATAAATTAAACATTTTAGTTTTCCTTTCTTTCTGGGAAGTCAGTTTTATACCTCTATACATTGTGTCTTTGAACACTTGAAGCCAAATATCTGAATGCTCAATTTTTTCTTTACCTGAAGAATCACCTCTTCTATTTGGCCACCCTGCAGTCGCTCTTCCAGTTTTTTAACATCTGGTTCCTGTAATTTAAGGAGAAGAGAGAAAAACATATTTAAACAAAGCAGCACAAAAAGCAATTAATGTGACAGACATAATTAACCTTTCTTTCACTGTACCGTTGCTACTTTATACCAAATATCTGGTGAAAAGCCATTTTGTCTCTCTACTATTTTATTGCTTTTCTGTCTTAATATTAAAAGGGTTAAACATTTAATGATATGCTTATCAAGGGTAAGAATATGATGTTTAATGCAGTTTTTCTGAAATACAGATTTTAAGCAATGCTTTATTCTGAGTATTTCCTATCCTTTAAACATTAGCATTAAAACATAAATGCCACCCTATGACCTAGAACTCTACTCCTAGATAGAGATCAAACAGAAATGCACAGTACATTAAACAAATGACAGGTTCAAGAATGTTCAAAGTAGCACAAATTACAGCTCCAAACTAAAAACAATCCAAATGACCATAAATAAAAGAATAAATTATAATATTTGAATATAATACCATAGAGCAATGAGGATGAACAAACTAAAACTGTACGCAACACAGATAATTCTCTCAAACATAATATTAAGCAAAAGAAACCAAATACATATTGATGATTCCACTAATAAAAAGTTCAAAACCAGGCAAATATGAATTTGTGGTATTTGAGGTAAGAAGAGTAGCTATCTTTAGGAGGGTAATAACCTTGAGGGGAAAGAGAGGGTTTGGGCATTCTGGAATTGTTCTTTCTGATTTGGGGTTGACACGTGGATTGCTTTGTGAGAATACATCAAGTTCTATACTTATGACTTCTGCACATTTCTTTCTGTATATTATTCAATAAAAGGTTTTGTAAAGAGAGATGTTAATACAGTAACTAGAACATTCAATAACATATATTTATTTTCTAGTAGACTACACTTTTTGAGAGTCAGAAACCATGTCCAATATATACATGTGCAAATGTAAATAGGGTATTTTCTTGGCTTAATAAATAGAATGAAAAGGAGGGGGAAAAAAGTTATTTTCTATAGGAATTGACATCTGTCTCAGGGCGTCTGCTGACTGACCCAAGTCATCTGTATGCCATGTTCCTCCACTTTCATCAAAGTCTTCGCTCACACATCTTCTTAATGGGGAGTACTCTGACAATGTATACAGTGGTAGGCTGGAACACTGCCACACAAAATGCACATGAACTAGTCCCTGGAATCTGTGAATGTTACCTTATATGGCAAATACTTTGCAGATATGAGTACAGATCTTGGAATGGGGAGATTATCCTAGATTATCTGAGTGGGCCCTAAATATGAATACAATCATATGTGTCCTTGTAAGACAGAGGCAGAGAAGAAAGTAATGTGGCCACAAAGGCAAAGACTGGAATGACTTAGTCATAAGCCAAGGAATACCAAAAGTTCACCATTCCTTAAAGAGGCAAGGAATGAATTCTATCCTAGAACCTCCAAAGGGAGTGCAGGCCTGCTGATATCTTGACTTGGGCCCTGATACTACTCATTTTAGACTTCTGGCTTCCAGAAATGCAAGACAATAAATTTCTGTTGTTTTAACTCAGCAAGGTTGTTGTAATTTGTTATAGCAGTCACAGGAAACTAATACATACTGTAACATCCGTCATCACCTGAGTACCTCCTATACATCATTCTTCCCTCTTTAATTTCCTTCGCTTTATACTATATTCTAACATACTATGTAATGTACTTCTTTATTCACTTATTTATTTGCCTCCCATCATTAGTGTATAATCTCCAAGGCAGGAATTTTTATGTTTTGTTCACTGCCATGTAGGCACTAGCTTCCATGCCCAGAACCATATGTGGTATATGACACATGCAGTAAGTGTGTCCTGGATACATACAAAATAGATAAGGAAAAAGAAAGCAGATGAATAGGTTTGATAAAGACTATTTAACTCACAATGACTAAGCGATGAAGCCTAAACAGGGAAGCTGGTCATTATTATAAGACCCAGGAGGAAGAATATAAAGAAGGCAAGGAATATTCAACATTATTTTCAACTCAGGAAAAACCTGTGTTGGAAAAACAATTCAAAATTTTTCTTACTTGAGTCAATAATGGGATTTTTATTTACTAACAGTGTAATGCCACCAAGCTTAATAAGGTACCATGGACTGAATGCTCCCTATATGCTTGCAACTGTGTTAAGCAACTGTACATATATCACCCATTCAGTGCTAACAAGAGATGAAGGCAGGTGTTATTATACCCATGTTTTGTTTTTTTATATCCATGTTATAGATGAAATTGAGACAGAAAATGGGCCATATGCCAACTTACCAAGTAAGTATTAGACCTGAGATGAAAATTCTGCAAAGGCCACAAACCAATGATTTTCACCACTATACTATCTCCCTAGTATAATCTGGGGGGAATTTATTTTTATTTCCATTTTAAATTTAGCAAATATAAACTTTACAATCATTACAATAGTCAGTGAAGATTCTATGGCTCTATTGGGGGAGTGTAAAATCTGTGCTGATTTTCTCCAACAGGATTCAGCAATACAGATATTATTAATAAACAGTGCTTGATGTTCTTAAAAACTATTTGTAATAGGCACTTTGGGTAAACAAACATTTCTAAGGAACTTATTAAATGTCAGGCACTAAGCTAGATTTTTTAGATAAAAAGAAAAATGCAATTTACAAGTAGTTTATAAACTACTAGAGACGTTATAAAAGGCTTCACAGAGGAAGCGACAGATCTTGAGAGCTGAGTAAGAACTGCCTGGCAGAGAAAGTAAGGCTATTGGAGGAAGGAGGAACAGAAAAAACAAAGAAACCAAAAATAAAATCACATGGAATTCATATAACTGCCAACAGTCTTGTGTTAGTGAAGCACAGTGTACCAAACAGGAAATGCCAAGGTGAGACTGAGAAGATAACTGAGCGCCAGATCTCAGGGGGCCTCCAAACGACGGTAAGGGCTTGTCCTCTATCTGGCTCGCAAACCTGGCTGTACAGCAACATCACGCAGATAAAGGTGGCCAGACGCTCAAACCAGCCAAGCACAAACTCTTAAACTCGCCTTTGAGAAAACACCAGACAGGAAACCATAGCAAACCAAAATGAAATACGATGGAACTATCCACAACCAATTTAGTTATAAGATGACTGAAATAAGACAAGAGGTCAGAAAAGAATTTTAGAACTAAGTGAAAGCAGTAAAGGTGAACTGTTCTTTGCCTGACTCTGGCAAAAGCAAAGGAAACGTAAGGGTAAGTTCTCTCTTAAGCAAGAAAAAGCTAAATACATTTTGAGGTTAACTGAAAGATGATGATAAAATGGGAGACTAAAAGAAAAACAAAGAAATAATTAAAGGGGAAAAAGGTTACAGAGAAGAACAAAAGAGAAGACTCTACACATGGACATCATCAGTCAATAGCGAAATCAGATTGATTATATACTTTGCAGTCAAAGATGGAGAAGCTCTATACAGTCAGCAAAAACAAGACTGCAAGCTGACTGGCTCAGATCATGAACTCCTTATTGCCAAATTCAGACTTAAATTGAAGAAAGAGGGGGAAAACCACTTGACCATTCAGGAATGACTTAAATCAAATCCCTCACAATTATATAGTGGAAGTGACAAATAGATTCAAGGGATTAGATCTGATAGGCAGAGTGCCTGAAGAACTATGGACGGAGGTTTCTGACACCGTACTGGAGGCTGTGACCAAAACCATCCCCAAGAAAAAGAAATGCAAAAAGGCAAAATGGTTGTTTGAGGAGGCCTTGCAAATAGCTGAAAAAAGAAGAGAAGTGAAAGGCAAAGGAGAAAAAGAAAGATATACCCATTTGAATGCAGAGTTCCAGAGAATAGCAAGGAGATAAGAAAGCCTTCCTCAGCAATCAATGCAAAAAAATAGAGGAAAACAATAGAATGGTAAAAACTAGAGATCTCTTCAAGAAAATTAGAGATACCAAGGGAACATTTCATGCAAAGATGGACTCAATAAAGGACAGAAATGGTATGGACCAGATAGAAGCAGAAGATATTAAGAAGAGGTGGCAAGAATACACAGAAGAATTGTACAAAAAATATCTTCATGACCCAGATAATCATGATGGTGTGATAACTCACCTAGAGCCAGACATCCTGGAATGCAAAGTCAAGTGGGCCTTAAGGAACATTACTATGAACAAAGTTAGTGGAAGTGATGGAATTCCAGTTGAGCTATTTCAAATCCTAAAAGATAATGCTGTGAAAGTGCTGCACTCAATATGTCAGCAAATCTGGAAAACTCAGCAGTGACCACAGGACTGGAAAAGGTCAGTTATCATTCCAATCCCAAAGAAAGGCAATGCCAAAGAATGCTCAAACTACCACACAATTGCACTCATCTCACATGCTACCAAAGTAACGCTTAAAATTCTCCAAGCCAGGCTTCAACAATACACGAACCGTGAACTTCCAGATGCTCAAGCTGATGCTCAAGCTGGATTTAGAAAAGGCAGAGGAACCAGAGATCAAATTGGCAACATCCATTGGATCATCAAAAAAGTAAGAGAGTTTCAGAAAAACATCTACTTCTGCTTTATTGACTATGCCAAAGCCTTTGACTATGTAGATCACAACAAACTGTGGAAAATTCTTCAAGAGAAGGGAATACTAGACCACCTGACCTGCCTCCTGAGAAATCTGTATGCAGGTCAAGAAGCAATTGTTAGAACTGGACAAGGAACAACAGACTGGTTCCAAATAGGAAAAGGAGTATGTCAAGGCTGTATACTGTCACCCTGCTTATTTAACTTATATGCAGAGTACATCATGAGAAAGCTGGGCTGGACGAAGCACAAGCTGGAATCAAGACTTCCAGAAGAAGTAACAATAACCTCAGATATGACACCACCCTTATAGCAGAAAGCGAAGAAGAACCAAAGAGCCTCTCGATCAAAGTGAAAGAGGAGAGTGAAAAAGTTGGCTTAAAGCTCAACATTCAGAAAACTAAGATCATGGCATCTGGCCCCATCACTTCACGGCAAACAGATGAGGAACCAATGGAAAAAGTGACTGACTTTATTTTTTTCTGCTCCAAAATCACTGCAGATGATGACTGCAGCCATGAAATTAAAAGACGCTTGCTCCTTGGAAGAAATGCTATGACCAACCTAAACAGCACATTAAAAAGCAGAGACATTACTTTGCCAACAAAGGTCTGTCTCGTCAAGGCTATGGTTTTTTTCAGTAGTCATGTACGGATGTGAGAGTTGGACCATAAAGAAAGCTGAGGGCCAAGAATTGATGCTTTTGAACTGTGGTGTTGGAGAAGATTCTTGAGAGTCCCTTGGACTGCAAGGAGATCCAACCAATCCATTCTAAAGGAAATCAGTCCTGAATACTCATTGGAAGGACTGATGCTGAAGCTGAAACTCCAATACTTTGGGCACCTGATGCAAAGAACTGACTCATTGGAAGAGACTCTAATGCTGGGAAAGACTGAAGGTGGGAAGAGAAGGGGAGACAGAGGATGAAATGGTTGGAAGGCATCACTGACTCAATGGACATGAGTTTCACTAAATTCCAGGAGTTGGTGATTGACAGGGAGGCCTGACGTGCTGTAGGCCATGGGGTCGCAAAGAGTCAGACACGACTGAGTGACTGAACTGAACTGAAGGTTATGGAGAAGGAAAAGCAGAGAAAGAGTAGAATACACAGGTGAAGAGATTCACCTCATGAAAAAAAAAAAAGTGAAATTTCTTATTCAGAGATGAGAGAAAATAAAGCAGCCCATTTTCCTTAGACAGGAACTGAAAAGAAATGTTAATATCTCCCTTAGATACATAAAATCTGAAAATTACTTCCAGATCTGCCAAGATAAGAACAGAAGTTCCAAATCAAATTGCACTGTTTTGCCATATACCTGCAGAAAATATAAGAATTCCCTCTGGACTACTGACGGTGGTGATCTAATAATAAGAAAACTTTATTAGAGCCACTTACTACCTGCATGTAAATTACTTTGGGGGTTTATAGACACTACTTTGGATAATAACAAAAGTCCATGAAATAACTGCTGGTGTGGAAATTTACCAAGAGTGCAATATAGTTTGGTATAAAAGAAGTGGCAGCAGTCTATTGTGTGCCTGACTAAGGTCTATGATTCAGAAGATGTAAAATGCTTCTATTAGTCTACCTGGGCTGTCATAACAAAATACCACACACAGACTGGATGGCTCAATCGAGAAAAATGCATTTTCTCACAATTCTGGAGACTGAAGGCCAAGGCCAAGGTGCAGCAGAGTCAGTTTCTGCTGGGAGCTCTCTTCCTGGCTTACAGACACTGACCTTGCTGTGTCCTTACATGGCAAAGAACGCCAACTCTCTGGTGTCTCTTCTTCAAACAAGAACTCTCTGGTGTCTCTTCTTATAAGGACACTGATCCTATTGGATCAGGTACCACTCTTATGCTCTCATTAATCTTAATTACTCTGCACTGGAGGTTGGGGCTTCAAAATATGAATCTGGGAGGACACATTCCGTCCATAACAATGCTCAATATAATTTCTGGCAGTTAAGAAATTAACTTGGTCCTCTTGTTTTTTTTTGGTAACGAAGCACTTTTTAAAATAGCTAGTCCTGACAGCTGTTAAACACAACATACATTTTTTTTTTCAGTTTTGCTTTCATTCTTCTCTACTCTAAAAGTAGAAAAATGAAATAAAGATTGATGTATCGATAGATAAGAGGTAAAAGATCAATAAAGGGCTGGACAGATAACGGAGGTAAAAGAAAGTTATAATGTTAATGTAAAGAAGGGACTTGATCTTATTCTTTCAATCCTGTGTTTAGTAGTGCTTGTGATTTAAAAAGTATTCAGGTAGACAGGAGTCTGATGAATGAAAGGGAGAAACAATGGAAGAAACACATGAAAGGAAGGAGAATAGAAATGTGAGAGGAAAGTGTGCAGAATATGCAAAAAGTAATCAAGTGAATTTGCTTTGTTAAATGTTACACTGCACACCAAAAATCCTAGAAAAACAAACCAAGTTAGCTACTTACCGCTTTAACCATACTCAGCTTCTCATTTGTAATCTGTTCTGTATACTTTCTATACGCTGCATTTTTAGGGATGTGTCCAAGAACATCAAGAATTTTTGTATACAATATTTTTAGCCTCTGAAAAGACAACATACATATTTCCAGTTTAAAATATCACCAAAGATTTTAAAGTTTCACAGATGATATTAAAAAAAAAATTCACATCTGTTTTTAAAGAAAGCATTTAATTATTCCTTGCTGTAATTTCTTCTTGTTTGTGCTTATCTACCCCCTTTTGCTGCTGCCACTCAGTCACTCAGGTGTGTCCAACTCCTTGTGACCGTTTGGATTGTAGCCCACAGGCTGTTGTGTCCATGGGATTTCCCAAGTAAGAATACTGGGGTGGGTTGCCATTTACTCCTCACACACACACACACACACACACACACACACACACACACACACATACTGAAATGGTAATATTTTGATATGTTGGTTAAAAATATATTAATTCTTTATTAAAAAAGTAATTCCTAGAAAATTTTGCACTATCAATACAAACATAGCTTACATTTATGACTCGCATTATATTTTCATTGGACAGCATGAAGCTTGAGTTTAGTATACATAGGGAAATGCTTAGGAGGTAAGGTTAGAGAAAATGCGAATCCGGTTGTATGTGGTTCTGCATGTCAAAGAAAGCATTTGGGCTTTATATTGTGGGCAATTAAAAGATTTATGGAAATTCTGGTTAGATGTGTGCCTCAGAAAAATTAATCCGGCAGTAGTGAGTTAAAGTAAAATGATAAAGGAGCAACAGAGAAGACCAGTAACAAAGTTGTTGCAATTCTCTAAACAAGAACAAGGGACTAAACTGTAGTAATGACAGCAGGAAAAGAAAACAAAGAGGAGAGAAATGGCGTGATTATGGAGGGAGGAAAAAGATCAAGGGAGGCTTTTTGGGGTTTTTTGTTTTGCTTTTTTATGGAAGCATGACAATATTAGCGGGAAAGTCCCACTAGAAGGGAAAACTGATGACAAAAGGGTGTAACTCCTAAGAGTACTATCTTAGGTAATCGAAAGTGTATAGAATCTAAGGCACTTAAGAAAAGTGAGGCAGGGGAGAAAGGTGGAAAAACGGTGATTTAGATTCGGGAGAACATTCACAAAAGTACAAGTGACAATACGAGAATGCCACGGAAAAAGTCAACAAGAAAAATGATTTGAGAAAGAGATCACGGCAACAAAAACAATAAAAAGTGGCACTAAATCAACGAAATAACTAAATACCGCTATTGTCTTAAGAGTTCACGCCGACTTGTAAGCCGGAGCCGGATAAATCCGTATTCCGTTAACCACTCAAAAAACAAGGTCGCGGGGATCTAGGCTTCCTTGGAAACTCAGGAAGGAAGGAAAGAGGTACATACCTCATGTGGAGTTTCACAAATAGCCAATCCCACCAGGCCAGTGGTCTGTTCAAAAACCAAACAAGATTCATGCTGTTAACTACAATTCCGAGGGTCCCCACGCTAAGAAAAGCAAAACCATCACTGTCTTGACTAAAACTGGCCTAAAACCAGCTACCGGTATCTCAGAGCCTCTGGTTCGGAGTTTTTTTCCCTGCCTTTCCAATCGAGACCGCTAAACTGGTCACCCCTAGGGGCACAGCAAAATGAGTCCCCAAGAAGTATCGCTAGCTCGCACCAGTTCAGGCCACCACCCGCGGACTGACTCCATTCCCGCAGTCTAAACTCCAGCAGTGACCTCCGCGCGTCTCACCTTCTTCAGCAAGCCCGCCATGACAGCGCCGAGAAGCCGGGACGCGCAGCCCTCTGGGAACCTCTCTCAGACCCGCTCAATCCACCGCCGAGGCCGCCGCTCCGTCACCTTGGAAACAGCTTGGCCCCGTCCGCAGAGGCTCTGCCCGGGGGCAAAGGCGCTGCACCGCCCACTCCTACGAGGAAAATTGATGCCTGAGCAAGGAGTGAACAAGTCTATGAAGCACAATCAGGGAAAGAGTTCTCTTAGATGGCTCTCGTCTCAGTTCCTGTACCTTTACAAAGATCTATTGAACACCCATTGTGTGTTAGTTTCTGGGACAGAATTTGTGTGACAGGATCTCACATCCCGGAATTCACAGAACAATGACCAAGGCATGCGTTAATAAGTAATGGGGTAAGTGTTCCAAAAGAGGTTTGTGCCAAGTGCGGTGGTAGCAGGTAAGAGGAAATGACTAAAGACTGTGGGGCTACAGATGTTAAAAGGGCATTTGCTTAAAAAGTCAATGAGAGAAGAGCACAAAAAATTGAGACTACATATAGCTTAAGCATCAATAATAAAACAGCCCACAGTATGGGAGAAGATATTTGCAACCACATATAATCACCAAAAGATAAGTGGTGCCTAGAATATATAAGGAATTTCCTTCAATCAGTAAGAAAGGAACTAATAACCAGAACAAGTCTTCCTGCTTCAGTTCTTGCCTCTCTCTCTCTGTAGTATATCAAGTGAGTTTGTAAATATTGTAAAGGTCCTGGCTCAATGCATGGAACATAGCAACACACAGGTGACTGTGTTATTTTTTATTTTGCTGTTATTATTCTCAACCCAGTAGCTAGACTAATCCTTTTAAATGTATTTTGCTCTTCTGTGATTTTTCACTCAAAGTGTAGAAACCAAAGTCCTTGCATCTGCCTACATTGTCCAGCACTGTTGCTCCCTCTGCCCCCTCCCCTCGGACCTAACCTATTCCCCTCTCCCTACCCAGATAGCTGCTCTTCTAACCCTTTTCTTGGAAAACTCTTCCACCAGACGGGTGCCTGGTTCGTTCTCTCACCTCCTTCAAATATTTGCACACTGTTACCTTCCCAGTGTGTCCTGCCCTGGCTTTGAGATTTAAAATTGCAAATCATCACAAAGACACTCTTTACCCTCTTCTCTGCTGCAGTTTTCTTTGTAGCCCTTGTCATCCTCTAGTATGCTGTCTAGTTATCTTATATTTTTTTTATGTATCATCATTTTCTAAAATATAAGTCATGTATGGGTGGAAATTTTTTTTCCTACCATATCTCAAGGGCCTGAAATAGCACTTAGTACATAATGGACACCCAGTTAATACAGGTTTAGTGAATACAATAGAAAAACAGGCAAAAGAAATGAATAAACCATTGGCAGAAATGGAAACAGAACAGTCAGTAGACATGAAAAGGACTCAATCTCCCTATTAAGAAAAGAAATGCAAAGTAATAATTTTACTGCTGTTTTATGGGCAAAAGTTAAGGACTGACAATGCCAAGTGTTAACTAGGATGTGGAGCAACAGGAATACTCGTACAACGCTGATGGGAGTGAATTAGTATAATCACTTTGGGGAATAATTTTGCGGTAGTTAGATGAAGATATGCAAAACCTATGATTGAGAGCCATTGGTGAATCTGAATTGTGTCCCCTCAAAATTCTGTTGGAAGTCCTAACCCCACAGCATCACAATGTGACCTTATATGGAAATAGGGTCAATGAAGATGTAATTAGTTAAGCTGAGATCATGGAAATGGGCCCTGGTCCTATATGACTGGTGTCTTTATTAAAAGGGGGAATTTGACACAAATGATACAGGGAGAACATCATGCAAAGATGAAAGCAAAGACTGAGATGATGTTTCTACAAGCCAAGGAACACCAAAGACTTCCAGAAACCACTATAAGTTAGGGGAGAGGCCAGGAATGAATTCTTTCTCTTAGCCCTTGGAGGAAACTAACCCTGCTGACTCCTTGATCTTGGACTTCAGCCTCCAGTTCAGTTCAATTCAGTTCAGTTGCTCAGTCGTGTCTGACTCTTTGCGACCCCACGGACTGCAGCACATCAGGCCTCCCTGTCCATTACTAACTCCAGTTTACTCAAACTCATGTCCATTGAGTCGGTAATGCCATCCAACCATCTCATTCTCTGTCGTACCCCTCTATCTTTCCCAGCATCAGGGTCTTTTCCAGTGAGTCATTTCTTCGCATCAGGTGGCCAAAGTATTGAAGTTTCAACTTCAACATCAGTCCTTCCAATGAACATTCAGGACTGATCTCCTTTAGGATGGACTGGTTGGATCTCCTTGCAGTCCAAGGGACTCTCAAGAGTCTTCTCCAACACCACAGTTCAAAAGCATCAATTCTTCAGCGCTCAGCTTTCTTCACAGTCCAACTCTCACATCCATACATGACTACTGGAAAAACCATAGCCTTGACTAGACAGACCTTTGTTGGCAAAGTAATGTCTCTGCTTTTTAATATGCTGTCTGGGTTGGTCATAACTTTCCTTCCAAGGAGCCTCCAGATGGCTGAGAAAATAATTTTTATCCTGTTTAAGTCACTCAGTTTGTGGTATTTTGTTACAGCAACCCTACAAACTGAGTAATAGCTTAGTTTAATCATATGCTCCTCTCTTCTCTTAAAGGATAGCTGTTCCTAGACACCTGAGCTATGGGGATATAATCTTCCCAGTTCAGAGTACCCAAGAATTTGTTATTTCGTTGTTTAATTGCTAAATTGTATCCAACTCTTTTGCATCCCCATGGACTGTAGCCCACCAGGCTCCTCTGTCCATGAGATTTCCCAGGCAAGGATACTGGAGTGGGTTGCCATTTCCTTCTCCAGGGGATCTTCCAGACCGAAGGATCAAACTTGCATCTCCTGCATTGTGGGTGGTTTCTTTACCACTGAGCCACCAGGGAAGCACCCAAGAATTAGGCTTTACCATAACTTCCATCATAATTTCCAACTTGTGGGAGGCCCACTCCCATGACCTCAGCTTAACTAATTACATCTTTAATGACCCTATTTCCATATAAGGTCCCATTATGATATTGTAGGGGTTAGGACTTCCAACAGAATTTTGAGGGGACACAATTCAGATTCACCAATAGCTCTCAATCATAGGGTTTGCATATCTTTTAGTATTTAAATCATCCACAGTTACAGTTCAGGACAGAGGAAATATTTAGTAACAAATATGCATGAATAATGGCATTTTAAAGATACACAGACACATGTGCATGGATATACACACATATGTAAATGTAAAGAAACTGTTGATTTGGAACAAACCATCTGATGCACACATTTGCTCTTACAAAGATGACGTTTATATCTGGACATACTAGATTAGATTCAGGAAACAGCATTAGGGCTAAGAGGAAATGTCCTTTTTCAAACCAGATAATGCTGAAAGAGTGACTGGAACTTAGATGAATAGAAGGTTATGAGGTCACAGCCTTTGTTCCCTGTCCCTCCAGATTCTAAGACTTTTCACCATTGTAGGGTGTGTTCTAGAATGTAGAATCATGTGATTATAAAAGATGCATGTGTTTTCATTGGTTGTAACTTTGAGTTTGGGCTTCTGCTGTATCACCTTTACTAAAGACACCACAGCTAAACAGACCTGGCTGATCCTGGCTAAGGTACTGCACAGTTCATCAGTTCTATGTGGTGGGAAGATGTGTAGGTTTTCAGAACTAATCCCTTTGCAGAGGTGCCAGGCTGTGTCTGGAGGGGTTTGATGGTGGTGTCCCATGGCCGGTGGCAGTAGATTTAGCTACAGAGGGAAGTCAACCTTGGCATCTATGATATCAGAAGGGGATTTGGGAATATCTTACTGTGAGTAGCAAAAGCATCAAATGCACTACATTCTCAGGTGAGAGTTCCCAGAGGGGTAAATACTGGAGATAGATGTTGGGGAGTTATTTGGCAAATAAAGTTAGCAGGCCAGGTGACTTAGAGCTAAAATCTGTGACACAATTCGCTCTGCAGGACCTCTAGCCTAGCCAATAAAGTGAAAGTGAAGTCGCTCAGTCTTGTCCGAAGGTCTTATTTCTCTAAAATTAATTAACTGGGAGAGTTAGAACCTCCTACACTGCTTCTTGGGCTTCCCAGGTGGCGGTAGTGGTAGAGAACCTGCCTGTTCATGGAGGAGATATAAGAGATACAGGTTGGATCCCTGGGTAGGGAAGATCCCCTTGAGGAGGGCATAGCAGCCCACTCCAGTATTCCTGCCTGGAGAATCCCATGGACAGAGGAGCCCAGCGGGTTATAGTCCATGGGGTCACAAAGACACAACTGAAGCAACTTAGCACGCGTGCACGCACACTACCGCTCAATGACTGAGAACTCATTCATTGAATGAGGAAGGGCTGGGTCTTACCAAAGCTAGGCAGAGTGTTCTTAGAAGGTATGGCTCAGGGACCTCTTCCTGAGACAGGCATGAGACCGAATGACTGAAAAAGAAGAAAACAGCTCAAGTTTCAGAGCAGGAGGAGTGCATTCTTCAAAATCTAGAGGTGACGAGTCCTGTCTTGGTCACGCTCACCTTAGTTTTCGTGTCAGGAGCAGGGGTGAAAATAATCGCCATTTAGGGAGTATTCTTTCCTCTTCTAACTTGGGAACAAAAAAAAGTTCATTTTTCTCAAGTTAGTGCTTGGAACAGACTGACATATTAAAATTCTAATAGTTTGGATATTATCCATCTCTAATGCTTCCATCCATAACAATTTGGATTTCTTCCTGTCTTCTTCTCTATCTGTGCTATGGATACTTCTAAAAAGTGTTCGTAACCAGATAATTAGGTGTTTCTGGTATGGTGGGTTTTAGAACCTCATTCTAAATTGGGCTGTAAGTCAAATAAAAGCCATTACCCAGTTTTATCTGACTGGCTATTGGCTTCCAGATGTTTGAGTTATCTGATGTGTCAGAATGGGACTAACCAACACTCCCAGCTGGGCACCGCTGGTGGCTCAGACAGTGAAGAGTCAGCCTGCAA